CGGCCTATAGCCATGGGCTGCCCCTGGTTGTGGAATGGTCTGATTCTGAGCTAGTTTACAGCAGGCTCCAGATGAACTCTGCTGGCATTATTAGCATTCCTCTGGAGTGATACCAGTGAAACCGTGTTTTCTGGACATTTAATAATTATTGCTGCTCTTCCCTGGACCATCTCCAATTCATCCTGAATTAATCCTGAATTGGAGTGCTACCAGAAATGGACACAACACTGTAGTTGAGGCCTATTCAGCCCAGAGCAGAGTGGAGGAATTACTTCTCATGTCTTACTTAGAACACTGCTGTAAATACATCCCAGAATCATGTTTGGGCTTTTTTTTTCCAGCAGAGTCACACTGTTAACTCATATTTAGCTTTTTGTCCTCTATGATGTATAGGTCCCTTTCCATAGTACTCCTTCGTAGGCCGCCATTTCCCATTTTATATGTGTGTAACTGATTATTCCTTTCTAAGGATATGTCTATACAGCAACATTATTTCAAAATAACCAGTGTTATTTCGAAATAACTTAGTCCGCATCTACACAGCAGGCAGTTATTTCAAAATAATGTCAAAAAATGGTCAAGCTGAAGGACTTCTTACTCCAACTCCTGTAACCCTCATTGTACAAGGAGTAAGGGTACGTCTATACTGCATTTTTATTTCGGGTTACCAGAAGTATCCTGAAATAGCAATGCCACATCTTTAAAAGCACCCACTATTAGACAGTGCCAAATTTCAAAATAAGCTCTTTCGACTTAGACTTGGACTATTAGACCGTGCCAAATTTCAAAATAAGCTCTTTTGACTTAGACTTGGAATAAGCTATGCAATTTGCATAGTGCAAATTGAGTAGCTTATTCCGACACAAGGGCTGTGTCTAGACTGGCAAGTTTTTCCAGAAAATCAGCAGCTTTTCCGGAAAAACTTGCCAACTGTCTACACTGGTCGCTTGAATTTCCGCAAAAGCACTGACAATCTCATGTAAAATCATCAGTTCTTTTCCGGAAAAACTATGCTGCTCCCATTCAGGCAAAAGTCTTTTTCTGAAAGACTTTTGTCCAAAAGGGCCAGTGTAAACAGCATAGTTCTGTTTTCCACAAAAAAGCCCCGATCGCGAAAATGGCGATCGGGGCTTTTTTGTGGAAAAGCGCGTCTAGATTGGCCACGGACGCTTTTCTGCAAAAAGTGCTTTTCCGGAAAAGCATCCTGCCAATCTAGACGTGCTTTTCCGAAAATGCTTTTAACGGAAAACTTTTCTGTTAAAAGCATTTTCGGTAATTCATGCCAGTCTAGACGTAGCTAAGGTGTCTAGACGCACCCTAAGTGAGGTACTTTGCATTTGTCCTTCTTGAATTTCATCTTATTTACCTCAAACCATTCCCAGTTCTCTGATTCTGTGAATGGCCCATTCTTGTTTCAATTGAGGGGCAAAAACCTTTCAGACTATCCCATTTGCCCATGAATTGGGTGGTACATCTTTGTTTTTCCTTCCATCATCTTCAATGAGTTCAGAAGGATGGAAGCAGAACCAAGTGAGAAACCTAAAATCAGCTTCAGAGTCAAACCTTTCCCAGTTTGCTCATCATATCCTTGTTACCCTTGGAGCCGCTGCCTGAGGGAGCTGAGGTTAAATTTGCCTTTGATTGCTCTCAGCTTTGCTCCCTGGAGCATCTTTGCTCCCAGGACAACAGTTGTGCAGAGGACATGCCATTAATGTTGTTGCCACATCTTTCCTTGTGGATATCAAGCACAGAGGACAAGATCTCCAGATGGTGTAGAGCACTGTAACCCACATCAGGGCATTTGAATATGGGACAAAAATGAGGTCAACGGAGTCCACTTTTTTGGTTGGCTGCTTTCACCAGAGGAAGGCCAATCCTTTCAGCAGAGTTAATCTGGAGTCTGTTGCAGCCTAGCTCAGAATCAGACTAACAACATACCTAGTGTATCGTTGTGCATAAAATGTGGGACCTGTTCTCAACATAGCTGCTCCGCAACTAGCTATTTTGGACTAATCCCTTAATCTGAGGAACTCTATTAGGACAGTGGATTATATGAAATTAACAGACAGCTGTATAGTGCTTTGAAAGCTATATATTATTAATACTATGTGCTACTGCAACTCTTTCACACTTTCAGTTCTGCGCCTATTGTGTAAAATTTCTTCACAGTTTCTTGTCTGCTTCACTTTCAAATAACTCACACTTCAGTCACTGGGATCTACCTATGGTAGCTTCCTGACAAAAGAATCCCCAGCTGCTTTTCAACACAGAGCACTAATCTCTAGGTCACAGGTTCTAGTGTTGTGTCTGCTAGGCTACGTCTACACTGGCCCCAAATTCCAGAAAAGTGATGCAAAGCAGGTAAGTCAGAATAGGGAAATCCGTGGGGGATTTAAATATCCCCCGCGGATTTAAATAAACATGTCCGCCGCTTTTTTTCCGGCTTGGGGAAAAGCCGGAAAAAAGCGTCTAGACTGGCACGATCCTCCGGAATAAAGCCCTTTTCCGGAGGATCTCTTACTATTACTTTCAGCTCAGTACTTTATACAATAAAGTGTTTTAATATTCCACATAATACTGCCATACATTTTTAACCAGAACGATGATGATCAGCAGATTATGAGCTTTCTGAAGAGAAAGTGGGGCTGTATAGTCATTCTTTTACATAAAGATTTTACTTAATTATTTCTCTATTGTTATGAAAAGGAAAGACTGTCCAGAAGGTAGAGCATTAGCATAGAACCTATAGCTTTGGGCTTAGTTCCTGGCTTTAATGCAGACTTCTTGTGTGGCCTTGAAACAGGTCATTAACTTTCTCTGTGCCTCAGCTCATCATTTCTGAAATGGAGATAATAAAGCAGTACCTAACACGGAAGTTCTGACAAAACAATAATGATTTTGAGGTGCTTAGAGGCAGTATGTATATGGGGACTTACCTGCGTTATGGCAAAGTTCATTAAAGTTTGTAAGTGCTGTACGATTATTTCCATTTAGAGGTGGGCAGAGAGAATTAAAGAGCCATATTTTCATTCTGGACTATAGCCTCCCTGAATTAGTGAAGGCTTGTAAAAATATTGCTTCCATATAACTGGAATGACAAATGCAACTACATATTGAACACAGAGGCCAATGTTTCATATTTCAAAAAATCCCAACCCTCTTAAAGGATATCTTTAATTTTTTCATCATGGAACATGAAAAGTGAAAATCAAGTTGCTGACCCATACGGTTGTTACTTCATTGTGTATTTATTGTGTGTAGAATAATGAGAGAGTTTGGGTTTGAAGTATCTATCTGTCTTTATTGTGATTATCAGCAAAGAGTGGAGCTTGTTATCAGTTCGTTAATGTTGCCTATGGAATTTAAGATCAGCCAGTGTAGGGATTATGACACTCCACTCCCTTAGCCCTTTGTGATCAAAGGACTATACAAAGGGCCCTGAAATCAATGGCTCCATAACCCAGTCTTCCCATAGTCAACTTTCACTGTGGCGACCATTATACAAATGTGTCTAGAAATTTCTAGTGGACAGATATTTTATTATTCATAACAGTGTGAGCATTGCCGAGCCGTGAGGAAGACCACGACATGACACGGCCAGTCACCAGGGTGCTCCCCAGCAGTGTGAGAAGCCCAATTTCAAATTGCTTCAACACACCAGACAGAGGGGGATTGACCCGTGTCTGCCACATTGCATGCGAGTGCTCTGATCACTGGATTGAAACCGATAAGGGACGCAGCATCATCACCCCCTCTTCCTCTCCCATCCATAAGAACGGCCGTACTGAGTCAGACCAAAGGTGCATCTAGCTCAGTAGCCTGTCTGCTGACAGTCCCCAGGTGCCCCAGAGAGGGTGTACCAAAGACAATGATCAAGCGATTTGTCTCCTGCCATCCCTCTCCAGCCTCTGATAAACAGAGGCCAAGGACACCATTTTATCCCCTGGCTAATAATTTCATGGAGGTTAGGTTCATAAAAGACTATCTAGCTTCTCTTTAAACTCTATTATAGTCCTAGTCTTCACAGCCTCCTCTGGCAACGAGTTCCACAGGTTGACTACATACTCCAATTTGCCAGTCTAGCCCTTCACTGGCGTAGAGTTTACATTGAAACATAACAAGGAAAGAAAAGACATTTGCCATTTCTGGACATGTAAAATGTTTACTTTTGGTCAATGTTTACAATTTGCCAAATGTTTACGGAATTTTCAGACTTAGATTTCATTGAGATGAACATTTTCTAAGCAGCCGTGAATTTAAAACATCAGTTGTTGATGCAGATTCATGAATTTCTCACCCACAGTCCTCTGAGCCATAGAATTCCCCAAATCCCTACACCTCAGATTCTGTAATACATTCCAAGAGAAGAGCAAGACACAAAGCAAACCTGCTGATAAGATGCAAATACCTAGTGTCTGTTTTTATCTCTGCATTTACTTTAAGTTGTAGAGAAAACTCACACTTTCTATGCTATTTTGTATTCCATTTAGTGCAGACTGTCACAGATATACACACATACCTCGTGCTCTCTATTACAAACCACACTCCTATTTGTTATGTTGTTCCCTTAAGTGAAGGACATTGTGAGAAGAATCATGTTGTTCCTCATGGTACCTGGACACAAAACTAGGGGATAATCTCTGCAAAACCCTCCTTGGGTTCAGCCATAGAAATCACACACATCATAATGAAATCAACCCATGAACCAAGAAACCAACCCAGCAGGAAATACAAATAGCTCCATGGTTTCAAAGCAAATGACATATATTTATTACTCACACATGTGAACCAGGTACCTCCTTTAACGTTGCTGGAGTAATAGTATAATACAGCCCTGATCTCAGTTAGGGCCTACAGGACTTATTGGAATATATACAAATTAATAATAAGAACAATATAACCATGAACAAAACCACCATGAGTTTTGCAACATGACATTGTTATGGGCTTGGAAATGAGTTCACCTTTTTACACACAGACACACAAACAGATGAACTGATTCAAGCATGGGTCAGGAGTTTATTCCTGGCTTTTCTCAGAGCATCTTTCACCTCCCTGTTCCTTAGGCTGTAGATGAGGGGGTTCAACAGGGGGATCACCAGCGAGTAAAAAACTGAAGCTATTTTGTCTGTGTCCATGGAATAGCTGGAAGTGGGTCGCAAATATATAAAAAGGAGGGTGCCATAAAATATGACCACTGCTGTCAAGTGGCAAGCGCAGGTGGAGAAGGCTTTGTGCTGGCCCTCGGCAGAGCGGATCTGCAGGATGGTGGGAATGATATAGACATAGGAGAGAAGGACAATCACAACACTGCTGACTATAATGATGCATGTGCAGGCAAACATCACAATCTCATTGATGCGTATGTCAGAGCAGGAGAGCGCCAGTAGTGGGGGGATGTCACAGAAAAAATGACTGATGATATTTGAGTGGCAGAATGACAGCCGAAATGTCAGACACGTGTGTATCATTGAATCCACCAGACCCATGGCACACACCCCAGCCACCAGCTGGCTACAAAGCTGTCGGGACATGGTGACCGTATAGAGCAGCGGGTTACAGATGGCCACATAACGGTCATATGCCATCACAGCCAGCAAGAGACACTCAATATCTGTAAGAGAGACAGAGAAATACATTTGCACAGCACAGGCAGTGCGAGAAATGCTTTTCCTCTTCGCTAAGAAATTCTGCAGCATCTTAGGGGCAACAGTTGAGGAATAGCAGAGATCACAGAAGGACAAATTACAAAGGAAAAAGTACATGGGGGTGTGAAGTCGGTGGTCATTCATGATTAACAAGATCATCCCCCCGTTCCACATCAGAGTGGTAACATAAATCAGTAGGAACAACACAAACAGGGGAATCTGCAGCTCTGGACGATCTGTCAGTCCTGAGAGAATGAATTCAGTCACTACGGAGTGATTTCCCTCTTCCATCTCCTCTGATCTGAGATCAGGCAGCTATAGTAATGTGAGGAGGTGGATGGCTTGGGGAAATTATCCCTTCTCTGTAACAAATTAAGGGAAGAAAACTGGAGATCAATTTCTTAATGGACACCAATTCAGGATCAAAGAAGAGCTTAGTCCACAGAGCCAGATGTTCACAGTTGGTCATGTCGGGTGTCCCATTCACTGCACACATTGTACGCATACAAGGACACCAGGTTAATGGTGTCCCACTCCTCTTCAATAATCTGAGCAACAAAAAGTGACTTGTGAGTTTCTTGTGAGAGAATCAGGCTAAACACCATCTCGGATTGCTTAGCTCAGGAAGGGGTGACAGTAAGGGTATGTCTAAACTACATGGCTCCGTCAACGGAGCCATGTAGATTTGTTGTTTTGGCAAAGGCAAATGAAGCCGCGATTTAAATGTCTCTATGAAAACCGTAAGAGACACTGGAAACCACCCACCTCAGTGACTATGTAATTGCCTAATGTGTTGTGTCTTTAGCTCAAAGGATGGGATCCGAACAGAGGCTTTTAATGCTGGAGACCGTGAATGAAAAATCTTCTGGTCACTGTGGGGTCTGTCCGAGTGTGCCGGTGATGCAGGACAGCAGCACCTACCTGCTGAGGAAGAGATGTGGTGGGGTTTCCCCATCGAAAGAAAGTGCCTCTTTTGAGGGCTCAATAAGTTTTATACAGAGATCTGTGCTCTCTGGGACATAGTCTCTAAAGTAAGTGGGAATAACTGAGCTCGGAGATGCACAGCACCTAATTAGAGAGATCAGTGATCCAAAGTCACCCTTGGTGTAACTCATGACCTGGGGATTAACTTAAATTATGCAATTTCTATCTGTTGCAGACCATTCACTATGATGGTCTATGTCCTTCTCTAGCTACGTCACTCTCGCAAAAAGGCCAAACAGTCTCACTCACCTGCTCTCTATTTTTAATTGGGCATTTTTCTGTAAAGTTGAGAGGACCTATAGTGGCCTCTTCATATTCCACATGTTTGCCAGCAGCATTTTCCAAAGCATCCACTAATTCAGTGAGCCTATGGGCTAAAAAGAAAAGGTGGGTCCTAAATTCTTTCTGCCTCTGTTTGCCCATCCTGGAATGGGAGTAACCCTGCTTATGTGCATTTCAGTAGGCTTCATGAATATTTGTAAATCTCGATATGGCCTTGTGGTGGGGGTGCCCGAGCCTCATCGGTTAAAGCAGCCTTAGAGATAACCCAGCCAATCAGAACAGGTCTTACTGAGCCAACCTGTAGGGGGAAGGCTTAGTGCAACAGCCAATCAGGGCCAGGCTGGCCCACATAAGAAAGACTGAAGCCTTGAGACAGGGATAAAGAAGGGGCTGAGACTATGAGGAAGTGGCTCAAGGCAACTGGAAGATGTTGGAAAAAGGTCAGTTTGTGGCTGACATTTATAGGTTAACTGAGTCACAATCCAGAGAAGCAGGCAGGCCTGGTTCCCCCCTCGTTTGCATGCCACTTGCAAATGAGGAGAGTGGCTGGTATCTGCTCAATTTTGCCTTTGTAGTAAGTTGAGAGTCAGTAACATGGAGTCAGGAGGCCTAAACAGAGGCCTGTAACATGAAAACAGCAACAGGCCTGCAATCTAGTGAGCAAGACTTTGGTTCAGTAACACAGGAGCCAAGAAAGAGGCCCTACTGATAATTGTGTGATTGTGTAAGTTAGGTAGAACATGGAAGGATACAGGGAGGCACTGGGTTCAGACTGTAAGCAAAAGTGGAGTAACAGAACATCTTAATAAGAAATGTCTTGGTACAAAGACTCTCTAAAAACTAATGCACATACCGACCTAGGTTCAGGACCAGGTCGAAATTGACAGCATGAAAGATAGTAAGTAAGCCCCCTTTCCGTAAGGTGAGGGGTGGTAACTAGGCAACAGAGGGTGGTAACCTGGTACGTAAAGAAGTGGGCTACGTCTAGACTGGCCCCTTCTTCGGAATAGGCATGCTAATTTCGAACTTTGGAATAGGGAAATCCACGGGGGATTTAAATATCCCCCGCGGGATTTAAATAAACACGGCCGCTGCTTTTTTTCCGGCTTGGGGAAAAGCTGGAAAAGAGCGTCCAGACTGGCGCGATCCTCCAGAATAAAGCCCTATTATTTAAATCCCCGCTTCATTGACTATATCAAGTAAACTACTGTACATGGCTCCATCGATGGAGACATGTAATCTAGACACACTGTAGGAGGGTTGGGATATGTTGGAGGGTAGGGAAATGATCCAGAGTGACCTAGCTAAATTGGAGGATTGGGCCAAAAGCAATCTGATGAGACTCAAAAAGGACAAGTGTAGACTCCTGCACGTGGGACGGAAGAATCCCAAGAACTGTTACAGGCTGGGGACCGACTGGCTAAGTAGCAGTTTGGCAGAAAAGAACCTGGGGATTACAGTGGATGAGAAGTTGGATATGAGTCAACAGTGTACCATCATAGCCAAGAAGGTTAATGATATATTAGGGTGCATTAAGAGGAGCATTTCCAGAAGATCTAGAGGAATGATTATTCCCCTTTATTCGACACTGGTGAGGCCATGTTTGGAGTATTACATCTAATTCTGCCCACTCCCGCCATTACAGAAAAGATGTGGATGCATTGGAGAAAGTCCAGCAGGGGGCAACAGAAATGCTCAGGAGGCTGGAGCACATGACCTAGGAGGAGAGGCTGAGGGATTTGGACTTGATTAGTCTATGGAAGAGAAGAGTGAGGGGGGATTTGATAGAAGCCTTTCGCTACCCAAAGGGGGGTTTCAAGGAAGATGGCGAGAGGCTGTTCTCAGTAGTGGCAGATGGCAGGATGAGGAGCAATGATCTCAAGTTGCAGTGAGGGATGTCGAGGTTGGATATTAGGAAAATCTATTTCCCTAAGAGGATGGTGAAACACTGGGATGGGTTCCCTAGGGAGGAGGTGGAATCTCCATCCCCAGACATTTTTAAGTCTGAGCTTGACAAAGCCCTGGCTGGGATGATTGAGTTGGGGTTGGTCCTGCTTTGGATAGGGGGCTGAACTTGATGACCTCCTGAGATCTCTTCCAGCCCTGTGTTTCTATGACTCTATGAATTAGTGAACGCTTTAGAAAACACTGCCTCCGGACAGAGCATTTCAACAGGTTCATTTCCACTTTACCGAGAAGCACCCAATGAACAATGGAGACTAGATGTTTGTGATCACGTGCTGAATTTCTCTGGTTACCATGTGTCGTCCATCAAGTAAAATCAGTGAACCTATGTGTTCTATTTTTTGGATTGACATAGCAAGAGAAAGACAAAGAATATCATAGTCTGTGATGGATTGATAGAGAGAGAGAGAAAGAGAGAGAGGCCTCCAATATATCATACAGGTTTCGCATTCCACCTGTTGGGGACAATGAGGCGATTCTGAACCTAGAAATGTCTGAGAAGATGTCAGTGGTTTCCAGCATGTCTCAGGCTTGTTATATAGACCCGTGTAATATAATTAGTGAGCTTCAGCTCCATTTCACATTCTGTTCCTTTAGCAAAACTACTGCTAAAGCTGGTGGAAAAGTTTCTTGAAAAGATTTTTATGGAATTTTCCATGACATTATCTTTTCCATGGAAATGTTCATCTTTCCATCAAACTACCAAACTCTCCCCTCCCAAACTGTGGCTTTAGGACTCTGGTGATGTTCCAGTGCCGTTCAACCTTGCTCATGGCAGAAAATATTGGGCTGTGTTTTCAGCCAAGCTTTCAGCTGCTACAAATGAAGCCTTTGTTTCTCAGCTCAACACAGTCCCAGGGTTGAACTTTGAAAACAGGAAGCTGAACTATACGCCCCGTGTAACTCAGGTAGAAATTGCACCATTCAGTAACACAGGAGGAAAGAGCACACCACATTAATTCCCAGAGTATAAGTCACACCAACAGTAACTTTGCTTCACTCAGTAGCTTAATTAGGTGTTGTGCCTCTTGAGATCAGTTATTCCTGGTTACTTCAGGGAGCATGTCCCATGGATCTGGCTATAAAACTTCCTGAACATTCAAAATTGGAACTTTCTCTTGATGGAGAAACACCACATCTCTCTTCTCAGCAGGTACGTGCTGTTGTTTTGCATCGCAGGCACACACACCTACAGACTCCATAGTGAACAGCAGGTATTGAATTCATGACTAACAGCACCAAAAGTCACCGCCCAACCTGAGCTATAGAAACACAACACATAATTGGGAAAAAAAGGCAACTACATAGTCCCTGAAGCCTGTGTTTCCATTATTTCTCAGGATTTCCACATAGAATCATGTAAATGCCATTTCACAGGCAAAAAAGCTTAATTAGCAGAGCACACAAGCCTTTCCCCAAACACACAAGCTGAGCCACAGAGCTCCCCTTGCCCAAAGAGGGTGGAAAGATTGACACTCATCTACTTTCACCCCGTGCAGCTAAGGAATGTTTCCACCCTGATTCTCTCTCAGCAGAGTCACAAGTCAGTTTGCTGTTCGGATTAATGAAAAGGAGTGTTTGTGTGTGTGTCACGAATATCCTGTGTGTCCTTGTATGTGTACTGTGTGTGCATTGTATGGAACAACTGGAATGAGCAGCTGTGAACATCTAGCTCTGTACACTAAGCCCATCCCTAGTTTTATACAGGTGCGCATTCAGAAACTGATCTGCATTTTTCTTCCCTTAATTTGTTAGGGTGAAAGGACATGTCACCTGAGCCATCTTCCTGCCAATTTCATTGTAGCTGCCTGATCTCGACTCAGAGGAGATGGAAGAGGGAAATCACTCGGTGGTGACTGAGTTCATTCTCTCAGGACTGACAGATTGTCTGGAACTGCAGGTCCCTCTGTTTGGGATGTTCCTACTGCTTTATGTTATCACCCTGATCTGTAATGGGGGGATGATCTTGTTAATCACAATTGACCCCCGACTCCACACCCCCATGTACTTTTTCCTCGGGAATTTGTCCTTTTGTGATTTCTGCTGTTCCACTGTAATAGCCCCTAAGA